GATTGTTGCAAATTTCCTCTTTTAATGGAAAGATGAATGCACTAAATGAAATCAATAAGGTAATAACATTTACTGCAAATTTTTCTCATAGATTGTTGCAAATTTCCTCTTTTAATGGAAAGATGAATGCACTGAATGAAATCAATAAGGTTATATCTAGTGTATCATATTATACTCATCGGCATAGTAATCCTGAGGAGGAAGAATGGCTGACAGCTGCGAGAATGACAGTAAGCCTTGTAATTCTTTTTTTTGTTAATAAGGTGCTTCTTATGGAAAATTGGATTATTACCAGTTACTGTTAGAAGCAACAATACCAAAAACTAAAATTGAGAGAAAGAGTTATGACTATTTAATCCTAGGATCTTATAATAATAATAATAATAATAATAATAGATTTAAAAACAAATGATTAGTTAAAACTGTTGAGGTAACTTAATTATTTCTTTGGTAAACTTATTATTGTTGAATGTAGCTATTGATGATGTAAATAGGTTGCTTGGTTGATCTTTAGAAGGACTTGAGTAGATCTGCAGTTTAGTGAATGAACTAACTTAGTGATCACTTCCTAATTCAATTTGGAGGCTTACAAATTGTGATTGTAACTAATGCGGTACATGCCCATTGAGTAATTCTTTATCATGATTTTAAATATACTAAGATTTCTATCCTCCCTCCCTCCCTCCCTCCCTCCCTCCCTCCCTTCCTTCCTTCCTTCCTTCCGTTTCTCCTTGCCCTCCCCTCCCCTCCCCTCCCGGCTGCCATCCCTCCACTCCCTCTTCCCCTCTCCCCTCCTCTCTCACTCTCCCTTTCCCCCATCTTCTCCCCTCCCCTTCCCCTCCCCCCTTCCTCTTCCTCTCCCTGCCTCCCTCTCTCCTTCCCTCCCTTTTTTCCCTCCTTCCTTTCCTTCTTTTTCTTTCTTTTGTCTTTTTTTTTGAATCAGAATCTTGCTCTGTCTCTCAGGCTGGAGTACAGTGGTGCAGTTTTGGCTCACTGCAGCCTTTGCTTTCCAGGGTCAAGCATTTCTCTGCCTCAGCCTCCTGAGTAGCTGGGATTGTAGGTGCCTGCCACCATGCCCAGCTAAGCTTTGTGTTTTTAGTAGAGATGGGGTTTCACCATCTTGGCCAGGCTGGTTTTGAACCCCTGACCCTCATGATCATCCCCTTTGGCCTCCCAAAGTGTAAGATTCATTTCTTAATAATTTCATTTAAAATCACTTATGTATGTAATTTTGAGATGTAAAGAAACTACCACAGATATTTTCATATATATTTTAATTTTGAAATGAATAGCAGTCAACCAACAGTATTACAAAGTACATTTTAAAGTATAAATGGATTGTTGCTGTTGAAGGTCCATTTCTGTAGAATAATCTTTACCATAAAATAATGTTTAGGTTGATAACAGAAATGATTACAATGTTAGGGACATTTGGGTGGTACCAGTAGTGTTTACCTTAGACCCAGTCTTATACACAGTGCTGGTGGTCAGGTTTTATGTATGCAATTTACCTGCTTTTTGAAATGTTAAATAGAATTACCTACTATATACACTAGTCCTTGAATTATTACTAGTTCTTGAGAGACACAAACAGGGAAGATATTTAGTAAATTTTGAAGCAAATTGACATTGCTGTGGCATTTTTGTTGTATTTTACAGAAAAATCTTAAGCAGATTGGAAATATAAAATTGGTTGTTAATGTACTGTTGTATGACATATGGGAATCTTTATATGCAGAATTAAAATTCTGTGGAATTGTTTATTTAATATTCACTAATTGCAGATTAAAACACCAAGGTAATTCATTATATTAGTGGATT